TCTTATAGAATCATAGGGCTGGATGATGCCCTCAAGAAGATTATTGGGTCCAGCTTAGGTATCTAACTCCCATTTAATTAGGTGACTAAATACATTTGAAAATATGACCCTTACTCACCTTCGGTCAAAGTTCGTTATCTGTAAAAAGGGGAAATTAACAGTGTCTTTTCTTACAGACATGTCAGGAGGGTTAACTACATTAATGGCACTCAGATATTACTGTAATATCTGTAAACTGTAAGCACTTAAGTGAGATAATGCTTCTGCTTCAGGAAGTCATTTCCAATTTACTAAATGATATTCTTTTCTTTTGAGGGCATGTTTATCCTAGGAAATAGGATTGTGGTTTTAAATGTAAAGTGTTTAAACATAGAGGTGTATGAACACATGCATGTCACTGCATAGATTTTAAGGTCTGGAGTAACCATCACAGTGTTTTAGTTTGATCTCATAGATTCATAGATTGTAAGGCTGGAAGGGCCCTTACAATCTTAAGGCTCATCGGGTCCAGCCCCCTGCACCAAGCAGGAAAGATAACTGGGGGTCAGGTGACCCCAGCAAGGTGACTGTCTAGTCTTCTCTTGAAGATTTCCAGGGTAGGTGATCGCATACCTAACACATCGCTTGCATACCATTCTGGAAAAACATCTGGTTTATGACAAGGACACGAGAAGATGACAGACCAGAGAATCTCACCCAGTACTATCTGCAGTGTCCAAGTAAATGCTTTTAAAATATAATTTGTTTTCCCCATGTCGACATCCCTTGAGTGTATACTGAAGTAATTCTGTACTGTACTGTCACATACAGTAGGCATGCTGTCTTTCAAATTAGTTATACCCAGAGGCCCTGATTTCTCATGCTTATTGAAGATCCCACAGAATATATTTTCAAGAACAGATCTATCCTGCCCAAATTTCAGCTCTAATTAGTGTGCTTTGCTATGCATTTTGTATCTTAGGTGATAGCATAACTAGGGCAAGGCAACTGTGGCAGCCACCCTGGGTGCTGACTTGGGGGAGGTGGGAGGAAGGGCAGGAAAAAGCGCTGCCACCACAGCCACATTATCACCTGCCACAGCTAATCACCTGAGGGAAAGATGGGCTGGATTCCCATGAGAAGTGAGTGATTTCTAACTATCCAACACATAAAATCACAGCTCATCAAAAAAAATGGAAAATCAGTTGCTTTGACAAATATTGAAGTTGTTTAAATTATGTAGGGTTCAAAATTAAACAATGTTTCTTTTTAGTGTCATGTTTTTGGAAAATCATAACTTTTCAATTTTGAGTTTTCAAAATTTCAATTTTTTATTCTACCCTCATTCATCTCATTTTTCCTTTTTGTGCCTGAATAAAATAGAAGTATCACCAATCAAACTATTCCTTGCAGTTTTCTATTTTTCTTTTACCTTTTTTCACATTATAACTTTTTCAAAATGTTTTTCAAAATTTTGAAGAGGAAAAAACCTACATAACTACAGTCAGTGTAAAAAATAAATAAATAAAAAGGGGGGGGGCGGGGAAGAAACAGAAAATCCAAAGGTTTTTTTTCTGTTTTGAAAAACAAAACAGAAACATCAATATAAAATTACATGTGGTTTATTTCAATTTGAAATTGTCACTACCAACTCATAAACATGACATTTTTTTCTGAAAAAAATTCATATGAAAGCCTATTCTTGTTGGGAAAAA